AGAGTAAATAAACAGTGAAAAAAACAAACAAGATGATAAATGAATAACAAACACTTGGGGTATGAATGTTTTATTGAACATATATTGAACACATTCTGAATGATGATCATCCTTAGGATTATTAGGCAGCTCTCAATTTTATAAAATGAAAATTATAATAACCCAGCAGGCATCTTGATGTTAAAATGACATCATAAACATGTCAAAAATTTAATTTGATTTGGTTTCAAAATCTTGATTTCAAGCGGCTGCCATTTTAAAAGCGATAACGAGGCTGCGGTGGGACGAAACCCAGAAGTATCGTCTAAGTCACACAGAAACGTTGTGTACCTGGCTATATCTTATTAGCGAAGAAGAAAACGACACAAATTTATAATTTCACCATCTTCCGAAGGACCCGGAGGTCAGTTCTGAATGAAAAGTGAAAATAAAAAGGGATGTCAGACCTCATTTTCAGCTAAGTTAAACGAAATGGCACTAGTTAGCCAACGCTATCTTTCCCAAACACACGGTTCAGATGCCAATAATCAAACTCAAGTTAAGGAACTGATTCTTTCACTATATTATGCCTGTCACGATTAGGCTTGGGCGATATTACGGTATTATGGTATACCGCGGGATCTAAAAATAGCAACGGTGTCAGTTTCAATACCGTTATACCGTCATAAAGTATTAAATATCCTTTATTTAATGCCTACAAAACGTGTGTGTGGTTGTCATCACGGGACAGTGTGGAGATAGAGGGAGGGGGAGAGGGTGAGAGGGAGAGGGAGAGAGGGACAGGGAGAGGTGACGTGACGAGTCGCGCTTCAAAGTGTCCTGCAGTTTGGCAGTTTAGACTGAACAGAAGGGAGACGTGGTTAATATGAACGAGAGGTCTGCATTAGAGCTGAAGATCTTTGCCCGAACCCGGCGAGACCCGAAAAAATCCAAATTCCTGCATTAAAGTCCATCCCTGCAAAGGTGAAGCAAATTATGACGAAGTAGTAAAAAAAGAGAATTTTGACGGCGGTCAAGCCAGTCAGCAGGAGCGGTTATTCCAGCCGCAGGTATTTAGCGGTCGCTCATACACTGCGTATTACGGTAGAGCCCTAAACCGCAAGCTGACAGGTAAAATGACGAGGCCACTCGCTACCCTGAAACTACGGTCATGGAAAATTAAATGGATGTTCCTGACTGGTATAAGATGAATAAACAATCCTACCCAAAACTTGCAAAATCAGCCAGATCAGAACTCTGCATCTCGGCCTGTAGCAGTAGCAGTGAAACGGTGTTCAGTGCTGCTGGACGCACATGAGCGCAAGACTGCGCTAAAGCCAGTGGATTTAATAATGTTCCTCCACAAACACACGTAGCCTAATCTTGGTGAGTAAAGGGTTTTAAATTATAAATAAATATTATTTAAACCATATAATCATAATGTAGACAGAGTATACAGACTAATGGTGGCATTATTCTTTTAATATTCAGCTTCAATTTAGTTACTGCCAAAATACCCGTCATCATTTAGAGTTTATTTGATTTGTTAAGCAAGATTTCTTTTCATTGGTGTGTTGGCCAATTTAAAGGCTAAGTGCATGTAGACCTATAGAGTGCTGAGATGTTACGATGTTACAGAGGACTTATTTTATTTCTTTGTTCCAACTTTCAAGTGGGATATAGTCTACGTTTGTTACGAATAAATGCTGTTAAAACATATAAATGACTAATTCTTGAAAAAATGCATTAGAGCTGTAAGGGCTCGGGCTTTATAAAGCTGTCAATTAAAATGTACGTGTCGGACTCGGGACCTATCGGGTATAATTTTTATGGCCCGATTACAGCTCTCTGCATTCCCGCGGGAGCCGGCCAGATTTCTTACGGTGTGGGAGTAAATTTCTGAATAAATCGCGGGAGAGATGTGTGTGTGTGTTTGTGTAAGACAGAGAAAGTCTCTCTGTCTGTCTCTCTGTCTCTCTCTCTCTCTCTGCCCAAGGTCGCATAGAAGGTATTCAGTTTCTGAATGGTTTAGGCTCAAGCCAACAGTTTGGTGACGCTGTCTGAGCCTTACGTCATAGTTTTTTTTATTACGCCGGTAATACCGGATACCGGGGTAAAATATGGAGGCGGTTTGACGGTCTCAAAATTTGGACACCGCCCAAGCCTAGTCACGATACTGAATTTTGTTACTAAAATATATAAAAAACCATCAATTTCCCACTAACATTTAAACACTGTTGAACACAACACCGCTGATTTGCCATAGCATTCACCAGTGCTCAACAGAAATGACTTGTGATTGGCCGTGAAGGTCATTTTCCATCAAGTGGTGCAACAAGTGGAGCAACCATTTTTCCATTGTCTGGCCAGTGCGAGCGAACACCCCCCAAATTAACAACCGGCCCAGGGGTGCATTTCTTAAAACCAACGTTAGCCAAATAAAGTCACAAGTTCCATCGTTATAATAAATAAACAAACATAAAGAAAAGAAAAAACATAGCTACTGGTCAGTTTAAGATATTCCATTAAACACCTTATGATTAGCTGTTTTTTTTTGCTTAAGATCGCCATTATGTTTCCCTATTAAATTTAAAGGTGTTGCATAAAATAATGAAGTGGTTTCAATTTTATTAAGTGATATTTCTTTGCTGCGACTAGTTTGTGCTGTACTGCGCAACACTGCAGCATTGCGTGTGGTCACGTTTATTCACTCGCGCATTCTCACTAGCCACATCTGTATATCTGTTAGACGTCTCCTAATGGATGTTAAAAAGATGTTTAGAATGTTTCTGTTATATGTGGACAAATTATGTAAACAGTGAATTCTTTTCTTTCTGAATCTGTCTTCAATAAAACTTACTTGATTTAAAAAAAAACAATGTTTCTATGTTGATGTTAATAGTCGAGAACGGTCAGTAATAGACCTTTTAAAGACATTTATCAGACCTTTGAGCACAGTAGTTGTTTTATATAAATAAGCTCTTTAAAATCTGAGCTGTAGGCTAAAGGCTAACCCCAACATGAAGACCAGATACTGAGACATTAACAAGCAATGAAACATTTGATCCTTAATTAAACATGATTACATCACACACACGTAGACGCAAACGATGACCAAACATCACATTTATTTGAAGGATGTAATATTATATATATTGAAAATAGTAAAAGCACTTGTTCAGCAGTTCAGACATCATAAAAACTCAAATACATTTACAATTTTCCTTGTTGTCATGAAAAATATGATCAATTAACAAATAGAAAATCATGTACAGTCATTAAGGTACAAATGTTGGTAAAGCAACTTTACAGTGATGGTTTCCATAGTAACTTTAGTACCCAAAAATGAAAATAAACCAGTTTATGGTTTGCTTTTGTTGTGTTGAATAGCATAAGAAAAATGTTAGAAAACTGTAACCATTGAATTCTATAGTATTTTTTTTTCCCCTTCTATGGAAAATTTCTACTATGGATGTCAGTGGTTACACGATTACAATAATTTTCTAAATATCTTCTTTTGTGTTTAACAAAAAAACGGACTCAGGGGTCATTAAATGATGGAATTTTCCTTTTTGGGTGAACTGTCCCTTTTAGTGCTACATAGCACCTCTATCTATGTTATATAGCACCTTGACTAATTTAAAGAACCTGCAGAACCATTAATGCAGGGTTGTCAATCTCAGCTCCTGGAGGACTGCAGCTCTGTAAGGTGTAGCTTTAACCAGTGTTGGGCAAGCTACTTGAAAAATGAGTGAGCTAAGCTATTAGCTACTCTACTTATAATGTAGCTAACTCTATGAATTGTCGCGAACTAAGCTAAAAGCTACATGGAAAAAGTAGCTTAGCTACATCGAAGCAATTTTTGCAATTTTCATTTTTAAATCGAAGCAACTTAAATCCAAGTCAATCATATCTTAGTGATCGATAAAACCGTCAATGAACATATGAGGCAGAATTGTTCAGTTCAGTTATTTACTTGAAATAATATGCTGTACTAAACAGATACAAATTATAGTATCTTATTATAGTACAATAATATCTTAACATGTACTTCTAGAGGTATGGTCACGAGGAATCCTGCTTCAGAAATAACTCCTCTCCCTCAGTCATCATTCCATCAAGCAAATTTCTCTTGTTAGTCTGATTGGTTCACCGACCAGAGCAAGAGGTGGTAGTAACGCATCAATACCTTTTTTTTTTCGACCACCGAAAAACATGAAGAAGAAAAGATATCATCATTCTCACCATCATATGGATTCCCTTTCATCGGCTAGACAGTGGCCTCACAGCTCTGTGAATGTCAGTGCAGTCACTTATTGATCTGCGAAAAGTAACTTGTGTGGACGCTACTGTGCTACTTGACTAATAAAATAGCTTCGCTACAAAAAAAACTATTTGATTTAGAAAGTAGTAATTCTATCGCCACGGATCTAGAAATGGAGTTAAGCTAGTAGCATCACTACATGTAGCAATGCTACTACCCAACGCTGGCGTTAACCCTAATTAAACACACATTATCAAACTAATTGAGTCCTTCAGACTTGTTTGAAACCTATAGATAAAAGCCGCAGCCACACTTTTAGCCTCATTGACTTCCATTCATAGTTCGAATTTGGTGAACTCTGACCTGCGATTCCATGTCACATAAAGATCAAAACATGACCCCTCTATGCAAAAAAATGGAGCAATCACTTAATTATATCTGTCACATCATACCAGTTTTGACTTGTAATTTTTCAAAGTGTCATCTGACAGAATTTTGCACGCTCAAACTCTAGTGCGAAGATGTCAAAGCCAGTTCCTGGAGTGCAACAGCTCTAACCAGATATGAAACTAAACTGTGCAGAGCGGTGGTCCTCCAGGAACTGGCTTTGACACCTGTGCTCTTGTGTCACTGCGGCTTGAGTGTGTTCAAACGAAACTCTACATAGCTGAGCTTGACACCCTTGCATTACAGGTTTTTTTAAGGCTCTATATCGTACTCCCTGCTAAAAAATCCAGCTTAAACCAGCCTAGGCTGGTTTAAGTTGGATTTTTCAGCAGGGCTTACTTAGGATTACAAGCCAAAGAACCACTGACGAACCTTTTTTAGAGTGTTTAATTTCTACACTAGTAAAATGAATGTCAAAGTAATAATAAAACTCCGTATAACCAGTAGTACAACAAAGCAAATGTTGTGGGAAAAGCATTACTATTAATTTAGAAGTAACTGTCATCGTTTACCAGCACAAACAACAACTTCCATCTTAAATCTTAGAATGCGGCCAAACTTATCTGACTGGGCCAGTTTTGAGTATTTGGTTATAACCTTTGACACCACTCAGGGTCCGGATGTAAAGAACACTGGTCTCTTTCTGTCAGATGTCCTGTGTCAGTTTTGTGGCGCCCTCTCCTGGACAAAGAGACAGAGCAGGAATAAACAAAGCTCCAAGTATTCCAGGTTGATCTCTTCACGGGATTGTAAACTAGTAATTGTTTCAACCTGTTTCTTGTTTAGCTCATTATGTATAAAGACCTGCCGCTCTCAGTCCTCTGTCTCTGTCTTAGACACTGGTCCACTTGTTCTCTTGTGATTTTTCTGGTACGTAATTGGTACAAAGTTTTTAATTTGAAGAGCAAGATGTACCAATTTACTCACCACGCAACACTAAAACAACATACAATCCATTGCTTGCACCACAGACTTTCCCTTCAGGAACCACAACTAGACTTACCTCACTTTCCATTTTTCTGGGGCGCAACTTTGATAACAGAGTTTGCGTTAATGGTATTGATGGAATCAGAGTCTTTGTCTTTAATACTGTCTCCCTCGTCCGTCTCTTTGTCCCGCTCTCTGCTGTTCTGGTTGCTCCTCCGGATCTTGCGTGTGGATTCCAGTGCAGTTCCCTCAAACAGGCGTGCCATGAAGGCCAGACCCTCCCGGCGGATGTAGGACTTCCCGGCGAATGTGTAGAGGACAGGGTTTATGCAGCTGCTGACGAAGGCCACGGTGGAGGTGAGTGCTCGCATATTCGCCCTGATTTCCTGCAGTCTGTTGGAGGAATAGCAGTTGTTTTTTTATTGCTTCTTTGACTATAACAAGATAGAATTATTTTAAAGAGCCCCTGTTATGGGTTTTTGAGAGTGATCTTTCATGTAGTATGTAACACAGCTCTAAGTGAAGTGAAATATCCAGCTAAGGCTTAAATCTGAAAGTGCACCGCGTTTAAAACTGTTGATTAATTTATAAAATAGTCAACTCAAATAAATGAATACTTCAAATGAATCGTCTTGATAACGAGTCTTTAGCCGTTTTGGCGTGATGTGGATATGAAACTTAAGCCCCGCACAATTGTTGCGCAAGCAAACCCAGGAAAATTAAGGCCCCGTTTACACTAATGCTACGGTTACGCCATCCGTCCACACTACGCCGGAGTTCTCGAGCGCCGAAAACGGAGCGTTTTGGAAACGCTGGAGAGGCCGTTTTCATTCTAAAACGCTGCTGCTCCGTCTCAGTGTGGATGGGGAAAGACGGAGACATCTGAAAACGGAGGCGGGGCTGCCGACGTTCGCCTCTCTGATTGGGGCTTTTCCTCAATATTAAGTAGCCTAACACACACAGTTCAGTCTCGCATCCTCTTCTTGTAAGTTCAGACTTCACAAGTTTGATCAAGGCTGCAGTCTCCCCCTTCTCAGTTTGATATGGAAAACATACCGAGGACACGCGTAAATCCTCAAAGGGAACAGTGTACTTTATAACTTCATTCACATCACCTTGGCTACGTTGTTTCACTTTCTCAACAATAAAATGTAAACATGATGTGAGGAACTGCCTATTTTCTTGTTAATATTAGCAACTTAACAGAGCAGAAATGTTGAGGCGTCGTGCTGCATATATGAGCGTCATCTTCACTGTGTGCATATTTAGGCTATAACAAAACGGAGCCTATAACAACTGCCTCCTTTCAATTTCAGTGAAAATACGAAACATACCCTCTCTTTTGCTGAATATCAGTTTTATTCATCGATAATGGCCATTATAAAAGTATAACATACAATAAGTTTATATAACTTATCTTTGCGCTTAACCAAAACACGTTACCTGTGAACAAGTAATAGATTCCAATGAGCAAAGTCAGGGAATAGGCCTATGTCGTTAGATAAAGACAACAAGATGAATGAAATATCACGTTTAGCAAATATAGCGAGATTAGATCCAGCGGGAGATGCTTGATGAGCAGTCCGACTAGCAGAGCTCTCATCTGGGTCGAAATGCTGCAGCGCTTGCCCGAGAGTGTGTGTGTGCTCACGTGATGTGCTTTTTCAGCCTTTTGGTGTGGATGGAGAGCTGTTCAGAAACGCTGGGTAAAACGCGAGTGTGGACGCGGATCGTTTTCATTCTAAAACGCTGTTTTAAAACTAAAATGCACTAGTGTAAATGGGGCCTAAAACAGGCGACCCCACACACAAACACTGTAGCAGATCCCGGTTGAATCAAGTCACAAAGAAGCTGTGCTTACCTGGATATTATTGGAAGTGTGAGGGGAAAGTTAGTGTCATTTTCTCTACCCAAAGATGAACCTGAAGAGTCAGTGGATGCGGTTTGTTTTTGCAAAAAATACTCGGCATTATCGACCCAGCCTTGTACTGTATTCCCTGGAATTTACACGCTTACAACGGGAGATTCGACGGCTGTTTGTTAAAGGAAGGATCAGAAAAGACTACTGATGTATGGGACTTTGTTAGAGCTCGACAGGAGCTATATAGTACACAGCTCATGGACCAGTTTCTTCCTCCCATTTAATTACACTTGTGAAATGGATTAAAGTGGCTGCCTCTTTGTTTTTTCTAGCTTGCAAATGATGAATTTAATTGTGTTTTGTTACTTGTAACCGCTTGTGCTGTATCAGGTTAACTCTTTATATTCTCATATCGCATCTAATGCCTTGTTGAAAATGCAACACGTGCTGCTTTGTTTACGGATTTAAAGGTTCATGAAACCCTCAAGTACTTTTTTGGAGATTTTAACAGATTTTTGTGTGTTGAGCATCAGTTAAGACAATGTTAGCACCTGTTAGTGGGAAAAACTGGATAATTTTGAGCTTTTGTCAGCTAATTTCAGTTTACGGGTTTAAAATGGATCAAAAAAAGCGGACCAAATATGGTAACGTAGCACAAAAGTGCAAGTGCAAAGATGACCCGTTGGTTTCTCTTTATTATTCATAGCGGAGCTTTCTTATCCTATGAGGAGATCTGGCTTAATTATTCATGACTGCATGTGCTTTCTAAAGGCAAGGCAGTCCTGCCAGTGCCAAGCTGTGAGATACAGACCCACGACATGCAGTTTTTAGCTGTTTATGAAGGGTTGTATGTGTTTGTTTCCATGATCCAGGGGTTTGTTGCATGTTTTTCCCCGCAATTTTTAGACACATCGCCATGCTGCTGTGTTTGCCTAAATCCTCTAGATCAAGGGTCACCAATCCTGGACCTGGAGGGCCGGTGTCCCTGCAGGGTTTAGCTCCAACTTGCCTCAACACACCAGCCTGGATGTTTCAAGTACACCTAGTAAGACATTGATTAGCTTGTTCAGGTGTGTTTAATTAGGGTTGGAGCTAAAATCTGCAGGACACCAGCCCTCCAGGAACAAGTTTGGTGACCAGTGCTCTAGATTACCAGCAGGGCTAATGGTTAAAATAGACAGGGCAAGAGACCTGCTGCACTGAGTCTGCATTCAGACCTATGATCCAGACCCGGAGATTGAGGGAGAAATCTTCATTTATAGTGTTTATATGAACACGATTTTCTTTATAATGATATAAATTGTGGTTATCTGTATATTACGAATAACAAATGTAGCAGGGCATTAAATTACTGTTTATTTCTTTGCATTTTAATTTTGTAAACTATAAAATCATGCGTATTCTCATGGTTTGTGTCTCATTTTGTGAGCCGACTGATGACAGTTGTTCGCTCCCCTCTTTCTCCCCTGCTGGCCACACCCACTCCTGCTGTTTGTTTGCAGCATCATGCATCTTTTGAAAAAATTCTGAGGTAGACCTGAACCGAAAGTGGGGGGTGTCATGACCCTTTAAATACGTTTGTGAGCTCATGACCTACTGCCGTTTGTTGTTGCTATGAAAGGTTCAAAATTATTCATCTTTTGCCACTGTGGGATACTGAATGTGTCATGGTTAAAAATAGAGCAATATGTTGGTGTTTAACTGCACTCTTGCAAAGGAAATTACGGGAGTTTTCCGGGATAAATAACAAAACGGGAGACTCCCTGAAGGAAACAGGAGTGTTTGCAGATATGCTCACATATACACTCTGCACTCTGACTACTTTAATATTGTTGATTAGCCATGCTGTGCATTTCACTCTGTCTCACGCTGAACACTGTCGACCAATCGCAACAGGCTGTCATCGGTCCAATCGGTGCAGATTAGCTTCGCGGTAAGGAGGGGTTTGGGAACAAATGAATCACTGAACGATTCATATGAGATTCATTGGGATGATTAGGTAAAAAAAAATGCACATTATATGACAATGAAAGTGTTTTTTAACCTTGCATGCATATCAGCCTGTTGTTGGAAACCCTTAAAACCAAATATGACCCTTTTTAATGTATAATAGTGGCTTTTTAATGACTGCTAGGAAACAAAGTAAACAGTCTGAAAACTCTTAAATGGCTTCAGGTTCAACTATGTGCAAAACATATCTGAAGCCCGGCTCACACTGTGTAATGTCTAATAATCCTAAATGATTGTAGCTTGTCAAACTGCTAACATGATTTCAGCTGTCATAATGTCAGACTGAACACCAAAACATGTAAACACAAGAAACTTATCCAAAGTTTGACGTCAAAACATCTGTGATGGGTTCAGTAACCCACATTCTGAAATGATTCTTCACAACATAAACAATATTTAGCTGTGTTTCTGCTCACAGTGTACCTCAATAATTAAATCAGAAAAAAAGTTGTTTTCCCTAAGTCAGGGGTGTCCAAAGTCAGTCCTGGAGGGCCGGTGTCCTGCTGATCTTAGCTCCAGCTTGCTTCCACACACCTGCCTGGAAGTTTCTAGTATAGAGCTTGATTAGCTTGTTCAGGTGTGTTTGATTAGGGTTGGAGCTAAACTCTCCAGCACACCAGCCATCTAGGACCGAGTGTGGACACCCCTGCCCTAAGTGGTTTAAAGTTGGTTGCATCATCAAATGCTGCACTCCTATTAGTTCTTAGATTGATTTTTGTCGCAGCAACCTGCGAAACTTGACGCATGACCCCGCGTTTTAGGTCGTATGAATGAAAGTCTATGCCAAGTGTGACCGCAGCTTAACACTGCAGGAAAGTGTATGAAGTTCTCTAATTACTATCACAACCTCATCTGAGGTTTGATCGCAAGCTGTCTGAGAACATGTCAAACCAACAATCAAAGACCACAGATTTTATCCTAGGACTACATTAATCTTTTAGGATTTCCCAAATTTGCCTCAGACCAAATTGTAACTACAATTGCATAGTGTGAGCAGGGCTTAAGGCCCCCATTTGTTCAGGGATGCATTTACTGTAGCTGTATATGCAAAAACTTTCTATTGTAAAGGCATTTTGTGCAGATAGATCCAATGTTTTGGTAGGGAAAAATCACTATTTTTATTTATTTATTCATTTATTTTAACCGGGTACTAAAGTGGATAAGACTTAAATGGATGCTCTGGCATTTTCATGTGAACAGTCTATTCGAATTTAGTTTGTGCATTGATGATGTCATCAGCCCATATCTAGACCCTAGTAAGACATGCTACGTCCCATCATACCTGCCAACACTCCTGTTTTTCTCGGGAGTCTTCCATATTTCACACCCATTTCCCGACATCCCCCTGCTTTGTTATTTCTCCCTGGAAACTCACGCAACGTGTATGGCTCATACTAGTTATGAAATTCCCTTTTTGTCCATGTTTGATTAGGTGCCAGATGTTGTATTTAGCCCATCAACTCAAACAATTCATGAAATATTTTAATCTCAAGGTATTTTTATCTCAATCTGGCAACATACT